AACTTCTTAAGACCCTAGGAAGCAATAAAGTTAGCCTGCAAAGCAAAAGTTCAAATCAAAAATCCTACCATAGTGAAGCTAGAAGAAGCAGTAAAGGGAACAAATATCGTATCGCTGCCGCATTATGCATGGCGTTGTTTATCATACATTCCCCCAAGAGAAAGTGTATTTTATTCTTATCTTTCTCTGAAGCCAGAGGCTTCAGGTAATTGGCGAGTTCCACCGGCCGGGACAGCAGATGGCACTCAGTAGAAAACGAGAGGGAGACACTCCTCCTCCTCCTCAGGGGATCTGCAGAAGGGGGCAAATAGTTATGCCCCAAATTTCCACGAATTGGGGACTGGGGAGTAGGGATATCCTCCTCTCGGGTGTCTGCGACCGGTGAAGATAATGTAGCAGTTGCTGGTAGAGAAGGTATGGCTGGAGAAGAAGAAGATGAAACTAATGGCATTGTGGGTTGAGAAGTAGCTGCAACAAAAGCAGTGCTAGTTATTGGTTGCTCATCAATCGAAGACGGAATAGGCCCGGTACCCGGCCTCATAGTACCGGGAGCAGCGACTGGGGTCCGAAAGCGAGAGTTGACATCTTCTACTATATCACACTTTCCATAGAGCGTTTGGACGTCGTCCTCGGTTGGTGTTATTAACTCCACAAATTGAGCGATCTGTTGAGCTGATGAAGGTCATCGTTTCCTTTGTAGGGAAGCCCCTTCATCATCGATACCCCAACAGCCCATGTATGGAAGTTAGCAAAAGCGAACTTCTCTTCAAAGTCCTTGGTTGTATTAAGCCTTCTAGGGATAATGGTGCTCACCGTAGGAGGAGTAGCATCATCAGTGCTTTCCTTTTTCTTTGAAGAGTTGGAGTTCTTGGAAGTGGAGGCGATAATTAGCAGAAGGAAATGAGAATTTCTTTGAAGAAGAAGGTTAAAGAAATATGAAAGTAAGAAAGATTTGAGTAAGAAAGGTTGAGGGGTTTCGAAAAATTATGAAGTGTGAAAGAAGGAGAATGAGGCATATAAGTAAAGGAATAGGCGGTTAAAATCGTGGCCATGATTAACTCGAGAACCGGCACAAGTATTGATGAATCGTGAAGTGACGTGTGTTCGAGGCATTAAATGCGGAAAGACGTGCGTCTAATCAAGCGTCGGAAACTTTTCAGAGGGGATCAGAATATTTTCCCCCAAGAAAGGTATCTTCACCAACTTCCCGATGACACAAAGATGTGTCACCGGAAAGCAGAGGGACTATCTCTGTAGGGTAAAATTAGTTCATATTAAATACTCATCTAATAGAGCGACACGTGAAATCGGAAACAGATCAAAAGCGAGACTAGTGAAAATCAAGACCGGAGGCAGTAGTTTCGGTTGGCACCAGGAAGCCCCCGAAGGGAGTGTTGCTCATGAAGACAAACGAATGTCTGCTACCCGATAGCATTCAATGAAGAATATTTTGCAGTATTAAATACATAGTCCGTTATAGAGAATATGGCATTAATAGTCCGCTGTTACACATTCTTCAATTGCTCCCATAATTGACATTTAAGATGGGCTTGATCCTAGGACCTTGTTCCCCATGTGCAACTATAAATAACGATTTCAACAGCCATTGTAAGGGACGAATTTTCTAACAAACTTATGCTATATACTGTTCAAAAGTTTAATAATACTTTATTGCTTGTCTTCTAATATTTTGTATTACTGCCTTCAAAAACTCCGCTCTCAGAACTAGAGCGATCTGCTGCTTTATCTTGATTTCAACGCTAAGTCTTGTATTTTATTTAATTTACTTATCATTTTGGGATTAAATTGATTAGCTTGTCTATAAATCACGTTACAAATTCAAATATACCGTTTTATAGGTAAATAATATCATAATTAAATCAACATACTAAAGTTGCAAAAATATTTAATCATTAGTGTACGTATACCTTGATTGATTTTATGGACTCTTACCACAACCATAGTAAAATATTCTTAAATGGATAAAAAGAAATTAGAATATTTATATTTTTCGTCTTGAATTCTAATTTTTTATAGTTTGATCTGTTTTCATTAATAGTTAGACCACATCTTTAAATATGGCATATGGCTAAAAATCAAAACTTTAGCACTCACTATTTTAACAAAACCGATTAATACATAATATTTTATAGTCATATTTAATTTAATATTTTTTCTTTCTTCTTTTTGCGTGAAAATTACCTAAGTTATGCTATCGAGGGGTTGGTGTAAAAAGAGAAATATAAACTTTTAATCGCTTCAAAAAGTAATAGGTAACGAAATATATATTTATATGTATGCTATTATATAATTTGTTGACAAGGTGGGATGTTCTGATGGTAAGCATCCTTCACTTTCAACCAAGAGCTTGTGAGTTTGAGTCACCCCAAAAGCAAGGTGGAGAGTTCTTGGAGGGAAGGATGCCGAGGATCTTTTGAAAATAGCCTTTCTACCTCAGAGTAGGAGTAAAGTCTGCGTACACACTACTCTCTTCAAACTCCACTAGTGAAATTATAATGGGTTGTTGTTGTTGTTGCTGCTGCTATTATATAATTTGGGAATACAATTAGTTTATTATCGACGGTTAATATTGTATTTTCTCCGGGTAAAACCGCGGTCAACATAGAGTTTGACAGGAGATGTGAGGCCGCCCAAGAGAGTAATAATATTATAGAAAAAGGTGTATGGGATTACGTGGACACGCGAGCGTTTTCAAAGACAAAAGTGGATATAGATGTTGATTGACGGCACGTGCCAGCTTTTTGATAGATTATTACACGACGACGGCCGCTGTTTTCTGGAATGAGGTTTGGTTTTGCTGTCCTTAATTCTAGAACACGCTTGTCCTCTGACACGTGTAATCCACTCTTATGAGTATGTGACAACTCCAACAGCCAAGATTCTTCCTTTTCATTTTTTACTTCTTGACTTGGCTTTGTAAATATTTGACTTAGTAAAATTTACTCCATAAACTTTTTGACTCGGTACGGAGTTTAGAAAAAAATAAAATTTTTTAAAATTTGTAGTGCTAAATAAGTTAAAAATGGGTCAGAGTATTTATGTGATTATAAAAACTTCTCATTAAAAGTATAATTGAAAGTTTAACTTAAATTATTTTTAAATTTTAAAAAATATTATTCTTTTTTGAACAGACTAAAAACAAATAAGATGGAGTACGTAGTAAGATATAGGCAACTAGATCTACCCACATTTGGGTGAAAAAGAAAAATGAAATAAAATTCGATCGTGGTTGGCAAATTATGCATATGGCCTAGGAGTGCAAATGCTTGAGTTATAAATAAGAGACGATGACCAATTCGAAACGGAAAGAATCTGCTGCGCAGTCCTGTAATTAGCTCCTTTCACTTTAATGATGCTTGCTTGCATAGCCACAATATCATTGGAAGTTAAAAAGTATAAATTTCAAGAATCTTAAATTCTTTTTTGAATTTTTGTTATCGGGTAAAAATTGCTACATAAAATAAATTGGAAAAGGTATTTAAATCGCTTTTCAACTAAATACTTAAAAAGAACAACTTCTTCAACTTTTGCAAACATTCATAAAAATAAACTGGTGTTCAATTGATAATACTCTTCGCAAAAGGTTTGAAATTTTTTACTTTCAAAAATTCTTCTAAAAGTTTTTCAAGTAAACGCCACCTTATTTTGGAACACCTTTGCCGCCGAGTAATGACTCATTTATGTTTTCGTCCAATGGGTGTTGGTGACTTGGTGTTGTGCGTATATAATCAACAAGCCGTACTATCGATTATAGTACTCCTATTCTTTTTTATTATGTGGTGTTCAACTTGCACAGATTTTTGACTAAGTTTATTGTATATCTGTATTATCTTTCATTATTTTGTACTTGCTAACTTTCATTATTATAAATATCGAACAACTTTATTTATTAAATTTAAAATAAATAAAAAGAAACTTCACTTCGATACTACAGTTAAACTTTTTTATAACAGTCTCGTTTGTACTGAATATTTTTGAATATTACAGTAAAATATTGTTATAGAGAACTATATTATAATATTGTTATATAAAAATATTATTATAGAGAGATTTGACTGTACTAGTACTTGTTCTATACTCAATTAGCTGTCTTCGGCTGCGATGACTTTCGGCTCTGATAGCAATAGCTCACCGGTCAAGTCCACTATCTTCATCAGACACACGGCCACGCGTTTTTGTAACAACGCCCTATTTTAAACTCTTCTACTGTCATGTTCCTATTCGTTTATAATTTGACTATTACGTAGTATCTCTCGCAAAGAAGAGAGGTGTTCACTATATATATTTAAATGACATTAGTTGGTCCAATTCAAACCTTCTATCAAATTAAAGATGAAACTAATTCCGTTGTCACCATTATCAAATAGGCTTACTACTGTTTTGTTACACGAACATGAAATGAGGCATTTTGGTGAGACAAAATGGAATTTATGAAACTTTTCGACAAAGCACAATGTAAATAGTAGTATTAGAATTTCGACAAATTGAGAGGATTTACGGAGGCTGAGGCAAGATCGAAGACGAGATTCTAAACCTACTAAAATGTCAACTTAGAATCAAATTTATGACCTAAAACATATCTTGTATCCCATTTGCTATGTAACGTTCCTTGTGTTAATAGGATCCAACAATTGATACATACACATTAAAAAAAAAAAAAAATCACCTATCTAAAGTTGGTCGATAAATTCCTCTTTCCTTTCTCCGGCCTCGACACATCTTAGAATATATTTGATCGGAAGGAGGTGAGGAACGAATACAGTGATTTGACTGCTAGGATCCCGGTCGGCCTGTATCAGCGATTATCCAGTTTCTTTTTTTTTTTCCTACCTCCCCTATGAAGGAAAGTACAAAGGGAGCTGTTTCAAAGTTAAAATGACTCGTACATTCACTATATGTCTTTAATTTCATACATAAAGAGATTTATTAATTTTCTGGCAAGGAGGATTTAGTTTGACCATTCTCAGGCCAATGTGATTCCGCCACTGATTAGGCCCATGTACATCAATCTTTAAGAAGAATTAAATTGAATTAAGAGAAAAGAAATTGAGTATTCCTAACGACGTGAAAGAGGGAAGCCAATTCCATGGCGAGTTGTAGGGAATGCAACAAACAGCAATGTGCAAATTACGCCAACAGCCATAGGCAGAATTGCGAGAATCTCTTGAGTTTCTGGTGATGGAGAAGGATACAAACATTTGATCACATTTTGATCAAACGCCGCGACAGCGCCAAAAACAAGTATAGATAATAAGGCATGAAACACATCCAAAAATTTCAACTTATACTTTGTTGCTTCCTCAGGAGGAATGGTAATATTCGAACCATCAATAATCCATAAACCTCTGAATGTGGCCAATCCATAACGAACTTTCCCTCTTTCGTCGCGAAAACTGTCTGTAAAATTAAGGAAAAAACAAGAGATTGCACAAAAGACTAAAAGGCCTAATGTCATAGAATGGCTAATCGAGGAGTGACATTGGCCTTCATGTGTTATAACTGGTGACAGAATTTGGAATGCAAGAACAGAACCTGAGGGTAAAAGATTGGCTAAAATGGCTGTTTTCTTGAATGTTTTTCTAATGACCTTTTGTGCTGGTGTTTTCTTTTGTTTTTCAACAATTTGTTCATCTTCTAATAAGGGTATTTCCAATTGGTTTTCAGATGCTACAACATTTTCTGTTCCTAATTTCTTTGTGGCCTCCATCTATATGTGCGTTGAATATTGTAAAATTTTATTTTTAAGATTTTAGTTCAATGTATGAAGATCACTTTGGGGGATTAATTTATAAGTATATATAACGGAATGTCGAAGGAAAAAGGGAAATTTAATATGCTAAAAACTCTCTAAGACAGAGATTTCTGATATAGGGTTCTGGTTCATTCGTTATTTGAAGGATATGGGTTTTTAGTAAAAGGTTTAAAGGCCAGAATTAATTCATGCCTTTATTTGACGTAAAAGTTCACTTCCCTCATTTAGAATGTTAACGACTTGGCTCGTAAGTTATGGCTGATATAACGTAACCAAGTTGTTTTAATTGATTGAGCTTACCTTGATGTTACCAAATTATAAGAGTTGGCCAACTTGTTTCTTTCAGGGAAGTTACACATTTAACCGCAAAATATTTATATTCTCTAACTAATATACATAAATTATACACTAATTATACATATATTATATATCTGCCGATAATCTTTTCAAGTTGACGGCTATACAATGTAAAACATCCCTTCCCTTCTTTTTCTTTTTAACGTCCCTAATAAATAAAAATATTGAGGATTCACCTAAAAAGCATGGTTTGAGTTGCCAACAGGCTCTACTTGAGACAATAATTAGGGAGGAAGAAACATATATGTGCGCATCAAAAACTCAGACTAAACACATTTAGAACTGGATATATGAGAGATGAGGCTTCCACATTTAATTTAGGTAATAAAAACAGCTGATAAAGGATGAAATGGAGAGCAGGCCTAGATATGATTTCTCTTAATAGCTTCAATTTTCATATTTATTCTCCGAGGAACAACATTTAAAAGAAGTGTATGACCTGGAAAGGAAAATTCGAAGTTGAAAAGAAAAATAGACTACGAGACCAAATTGCTATCTCAATCGCCAACAAGAAGCTATCTCCAAGAATAGTCCCCAAATATTAACAAGCAGAGGAAGAAAATGCAATGGTGAAATAGCAAACCGTTTTGCCATGGTCGCTTCCTGGTTACTTTCCTCCGGTTGTCTCCAAGTTCAAGCCCTGAAGGTTGAGCAACAAATCATCAGAACTCAAGTACACTTTGTTTGCTGCATTTGAAATGGTGTGTGCATTATCTCTTGCTGCTTCAATTTTCCTGAGCGTGATAAACGCTGGATTGTTGGCAATAGCTTGACCGATCAGCTGCGCGCTCTTAGCCTCACCCTGCAGGAAGGAATTCAAGCACCATTAATCATAGTATTCCATATAAAATGACAAGTTGAAGAAGTAACTGGAGATTAGATTAAAGAAAGAAGGATATGATTTGGAAAATATTATGACCTGAGCTCTAATAATAGCACTTCGTTTATCCTGCTCTGCTTTTTCCACAATATACTTTGCTCTCTCTGCTTCTTGAGCAGCCACTTGCTTTGCTTCAATTGCAGTCGTGAATTCCTTTCCAAAAGTCAAGCTAGTTATGGACACATCATCTAGAGCGATGTTGAAGTTGGCTGCCCTTTCAGTTAAGATCTTCCGTATTTCTCTACTAACATTCTGCACAAGTACACAAGTTTAAGCAAAGATGGTGAAGAACCTTTAAAATTCCAATGAGTTTCTACGGCAGCCAAATAGAAAATTTGCAGCTATCCACCATAGTCCCCTACTTCAGAGAAGGAAGTGGAGCATATATTCAATATCAGAACATTCCTCACATTAGGCGCCAACCACACCATACAGTACAGATGCAATATTACCAGTTATGACCTATAGCGCAATAATTACTTCTACAATAGCAACATCAACACACTAAGTAGGTATATGTCCTCTTGCACGTACCTCTCTCTGGGTGATGAGCTGGCTAGCGTTGTACTGTGCAACCACAGCTTTCAAAGTTTCATGAATAATTGATGGCAGGACACGTTCATTATAATTTTCACCAAGAGTTCGGTAAATAGTGGGCAGTTGGTCTGGTACTGGACGCGTGAGAACCCGAAGTCCAATTTTAACCTGAAAATAATTAAGGAACAAGATATATTTTACAACCTGTCATTCTTATAACACAGAAACGCTCTGCTCCTAGGATTAAGGAAACATATGATGAACACCTTCTATCCCTCATAAGTTTGTACAGTCTTTACCACATGTTACTTTTGTCCTCCCAATCCCAAATCTTTTGGTTTCTCTTTCCCTTTTATATGTGGTAGTAGGGAACCAAGCAAGCGCTGAGAGAAGAATTTACCATCTGAAGGTCGCGACTGCCAGAAGTGCTTTCCACTAGATGTGGACGTGCACGAACGTCATATATGACAGGCCTTTCAAACCAGGGAATCATGAAGTGTGTCCCCTCTGGATAAACCTATTAATAAAATATCCAACATCATGTATCAAAAATGCATAAGGCACGTCGATAGTAGACGAAAAACAGGACTAAAGGTCATAAACTAGGATGTACAACATCAAATAACCACATTGGAGATAAAAGATATAATAAAGAGATGAGAATAACTTTAAAATATATAACTTGAACGTGCTTGAGGATACAACAGAATTTGATTACTTTTACACTTCAACCTCCTCCTTTTATATCTATATAGGTATGAAGAATAAGTATGGCATCTAGAAAACCTCGAGTTCTAAGAATTAATATGTCGTATTGAAAGACAAATTATTGGATTTTGGGATGAGATGCGTCCGGATAGAGCAAAAAGATATAGAAATACATATAGTCGACCCAACTAGTTTGAGATTGAGGTGTAGGTGGTTGATTGATTGACTACTTAGATGTGCTTGGACATCACGGTATCAAAGAAATATGAACAACACATATTGATCTCTATCTTACAAAAACGAAAAAATCCAGAAGAAAGAATCCATCAAGCATATCCTAAACGAAATATTAAAGAAGCAACGCGATACTAGAAGAACTTCCTTAACCGCAGAAGGCAGTTAAATCCAGCTCTGACCTAACTAAATTTCTTAAACATAGATAGAGCTTCAGAGATGACTGTCCAGTGTCCAGTGGATGCTAGCCCTCAGGTCAATCTAATATATGTACTGAAAAAAGGGTCCAAAAACCATCTTAGTCGAATAGGGAAAGGACAAGACATACCTTATCTTTAACACCAAGAATACGGTTGAAAACAATAGCACGATTCCCGCCATCAACATTGTAGAGACTGTTAGCGACTCCATACACACCAAGACCAGCAACAACTCCTAACTTAATCAAAGCAGAAGCGGCACCACCACCAGGCCTCTTAGGAACCTTAACATTCTTGAGATCCATCTTGCTAATCCCTGAAAGTAAAGCCAATAATAGTCATCATTATAATCATTTAACAAAAGCCTGCTAATATGGAAAAGGAGTGATCCGTGAGTATCCTAAAGAGCATTTGCAAGTAAGCCTACATCTCTTTTGATTAGTCAGCAGGTAATTTCGTCACAGAAAGCTCCAACACAAAGTACTTGACAAAATTTACAGTTTTTACTCCGTGAATTATCTGTAAGATCTTTACTTACAGAAAATCTAAATTTGAAAGGATACTCTTCTAGTTTCATTATATGGCCATAAAAACACTTTGTATGCCACTTAATCTGTCTACCTTCTGACGGAATACGCTTAAGCAGTTCAACAAATCCAATCGATTCAAATAACAAGCAAGACCAATACAACAGTAAATTGTAGCAATGAGTCATTGACTACTTTTTTTAACAAGATTGAACAATTGAATTGAGAAAATGTGTGTATGGCTTAATCTCATTTTTCACATTCAATTGTTTGTTAGTACTATTTCGTTGAAACTTATATGAAACACTCAAATACTTATCATGCACACTAAGATTCTAAAGGGGTTAGTGGAAATAATTGATACATTTATCTTAACAAATAAAAGATAACGAATTGATACTTCTATATCTGTAGCCTTAGCTCAACAGACAATACGATAATACATGATCATCCAATTAACAAACTCAAGTACAAATCATATTTTACACTACATGTAAGCAAAATCCAGAGAGACTATTCGTTTGTTCCGAAAAGAATCTAACAATTGTGCATGCTTACTCACAGACTCATAAATAAATGTAGTGAATTGTCTAGAGAATATATAACAGAGTCAAAGACAAAAAGCAAACAGATAGCAGACATCATAAACACGCACGAGCCAAATTACGATTAAACACATAAAATTAGAATGGGCCTGAATATAGCAGAATGGATACAGATCATTCACATAATAGGACTCAATACAAATGCTCAGTTATTATTTGTAACCCAGAATCATACCAAACAAAAAATTTATTTAAAACCCAGAATCATAAAAAAAGACAAAAATAAAATTATTTAAGTTATTTTTTCGTAAATTTACTCACTTGAAAATCAAATAAGAACTAAGAACACACCAAACTCCTGTAACTTTAAGGTTCTTCACAATCGGTTTTTAGGGAAAGAAAAAACTACATAAAACTACATAAAAGAATGTGTAGATTAAGAAAACCGAACTTTCAAACGAAATTTTTTTACCTGATCAAAATGCAGGGAAGGAATCTTCTAGAAAGTTCCTTTTAGAAGAAAAGGAACTGAAATGGGGTTTAAGGAAGCTTGGAGAAGGGGTTTATTAATAGTTTAGGGGTTTAGGAATAGTTTAGGGCTTTACAATTTATCTATTCTAATTTTAGGGAAAATTGTCAAATATGCCCGAGTACTATTGGAAATTAAGAACCTTTTACTCTTTGTTAGGTGTTTGGTTTAATATTATCCCACTGTTTAGAAAAAGTTTTATTTGGTCGTTACGGAACTTAATTTGAAAGTAATTTTAAATTACAACACAAAAAAAAGAGTAAATTTTGACGCTTTCGAAGAAAATTAAACACGTGGAGTCCAAACGATTCACTAAAAGTAAGAATACGGAAAGAGAAAAAATATAATAAATGATAAAATTGAACAATTTCAAATAATACATTATGTCAACTAATTTTTACTGAACTATTTCAATTATATGTCACTTGAACGAACTCGAATTTTTGTGTAGTTATATATCTTCGGGATGTTTATAATCTTCAGATTTACATGAGTTATTTTAGTCTCAAATCCAAGGGGAAAGGGAATTGGTCATATCACATTTGCTTCATATGACCTACCTAAATAAAATATCTAATGCACAAAATTTTTTCCAAAATAATAATAATTTTTTATATTTTTCTAATATTTAGAAATTTGAAATCAACTAAAAACTTTATGTATTAAAATCTTCATATTAAAATATTATTTAAGAAGTCCTAAAATTTAGGTTTAAAATCATCTAAAAACTTTCCTTATATATATTAAAATTAAAGTCCTAATATTTAGGACCAAATATATAACAAGAACTAAATTATGACGTTGAAATACTTGGATATCTCGCCACTAACCATTCGATTTGGATTCAAGTTATTAAAGGAAAAAATTGAAGAACTACTACTATTTTTCTTTATTTGACGAAAAGAACTACTACTATTTTTCTTTATTTGACGAAAAGAACTACTATTATTGATGTTCTAAAGTGAAACTAGATGAGGAATTGGGGTTAAAACCAGCTATAAACGACAAATACGAGGGGTTTAATTTCTATCTATTAATTAAGAGCCTTTTGATAGGTACGAAGATGGTGAATTTTTTAGTGATATAAAATATTAATTATTTTAATAACATGAACCCCAACCAAACAAATATTTGGTCAATCGTAAATAATGATGTATGACTACACTTACAGATTAATTAGTACTGAAGTTGACCTAATTAATAAACTCACAAAGTTTACTAACATAATTAACTTAGAGTTGCTTGAATAATTTATGTCGTCAAAAACTCACCCCAGAAAGGATAATATATAAATACCCCATTAAAGTTTTATTACTTTTTTCTCCCAAATTAATTATTTAAATCATTGCATACACGTGTATATATATAACTATTTTTCTGAAAAATATAGTTCAATCCTAAAGTATAGTCCATGTTTTGACTACCTATTAGTGTAATCCATTCTGATCATCTAAATATTATGAGTGCTATAAATAATTTTAAAAGATACTTTTTGAAAAAGTGCGAGAGAAAAAGATGAAAAAATAATGAAAATAAATATACATCTCACTATAGTTGAAAAAGAAGGTAATAAACTCTTAAATTGATCATCAACTAAAATTCAAAGGTGAAATGTTGATAGTTTTCCCTTTTGAAAATAAAATTTTATTAGATAAATTACTATTAATATTAAATATTAAAAATTTAGAAAGAGTTAATATTAAGAATTTAGTCAACATAAAGTATATCAATTCCTTTACAGCTTGTTTGGATGGTCGTTACCTATTGTATTGTATTGTATTGTTGCTTTAAATACGATGTTTGTTTTGGTGGTTACTTAAATTTTATTATATCGTATCGTTAAATCTGTCGTTACGTAACGACGAAATGTGCCACTTTATGTAACGATCGATTTGGTGCGGTGTCACGACCCAAAAATCACACTTGTCGTGATGGCGCCTATCTCAATACTAGGCAAGCCAACAACCTTAATAAACCACAATTTTATTTTAAAAACTGAAAACATAATAATTAAGTTTAAGAGTAAATTCCACAAATACTGGATATAAAAACACTCCCAAAATTCGGTGTCACTGAGTACATGAGCATCTATACATTATAAGTCTGGAAAACCCGATCTATAATAATTCAAGACCAAATACAATAAACCAAAAGGATAGGGAAGGAGAGACAAGGTCTGCGAAACATAGCAGCTACCTCTGAATCACCAAAAAATCAACTGTGTGAAAGAATCAATACCCACTGTGTTCGGGATCACCTGGATATGCACACGAAGTGCAGAGTGTAGTATGAGTACAACCAACTTAGTAAGTAACAATAATAAATAAGGAAATAAAAGTAGTGACGAACTTCTCAGCTAAGTCCAAATATAGTACTTTCCAACATAAAAGGGTAGGTATGCTCTCAAATTCAACATTTCAAATTTCACAGAAATTTCATATTAAATTTGAATGAAACATAAAATAATATTTTTTTGAAATTTCCAAAATAGTGATATATGACAGCTGAAATGCAGCAAATAATGAAATCAATGCATCCTCTCAGAGTAACAGTCACTCAGTCCTCCCATTCACTCCAACCTCACAATCACTCTTTCCTCACAGTCACTCTTTCCTCACAGTGACTCATCACTCGGCACTAGGCATTCACACTCAGTAGGTATCTGCGCTCACTGGGGTGTGTACAGACTCCGGAGGGGCTCCTTCAGCCCAAGCGCTATATCAAGCCAATCATGACATATAACAATGAAACATGTTGTGACGCGCAACTCGATCCCATAAATATCCTCACAATTAGGCCCTCGGCTTCACTCAGTCATCAACCTCTCCAGTCTCTCGGGCTCAAGATATCATAAAAATCAGCCCAAAAATGATAATATAATGTATCAATAAATAGCAACAGAGACTGAGATATGATATGAAATGAATGAACATGACTGAGTGTGAAATTATAATTTGAGCATATAATTCAACCACAGAAATGACCCCAGTGGGTACCAATAATAACAACATATGTCTAAGCATGATTTTTAATACGAGTCTCAGCTCAATTTTCTCTAACACGTAGAGAATGTACGGATATCAATAGATAATTCAACTACACAGTTTTATGGAATTTGACCAAGTCACAATTCCTACGGTACATGCCCACACACCCACACACCCGTCACCTAGCATGTGCGTCACCTCAAAACCAATCACATAACACATAATCCGGGGTTTGATACCCCAGGACCAAATTTAGAACTGTTAGTTACCTCAAACCATGTAATTCTTTATTCCGCTATGCCCTTTCCACGAGAATTGGTCTCCGAAAGCCTCATATCTAGACACAATTAATTTGATTCTGTCAATACCAATTATTGTAATTAATTCCATAAGGAAATACTAATTTTCCAATAAAAATTCGAAATTAACTCAAAAATCGCCCGTAGGGCCCACATCTCGGAATCCGATAAAAGTTACAAAATATGAACGCCCATCCAACCACGAGTCCAACCATATAAATTTCACAAAATTCCGACATCAACCCGACCCTCAAATCTTCAATTAAAGTCTATGAAGATTTCTACCATTTTCAACTCAATCTTTACCCATTTGAACATCCTGAACCTGAACTAAGTGATAAATATAGCCCTTTCTGATCATCTTCCTTGCCTTGAGATAGGAAATAAATCTACCTCTCGACGACGCCGTATTACCTTTCCAATCCAAAACAGGCTCCCTTGGAAATTGGAATTGGACCATCTTTGATCTACAATCAACGTTGGCATGACAAGAAGCCAACCAATTCATACCCATTATAACATCAAATTCTACCATATCTAACTCAATTAGGTCTATTACTGTAGATCCACTGTGAACTACTACTATACAACCTCTATATACCTGCCTGGCTATCACTGGATCCCCAACAGGCGTGGACACCTCAAAAGTCTTAACCAACTCAGGTTTTATTCCAAACTTACTAGCAACCAATGGAGTAACATATGATAATGTGGAACCTAGGTGAATCAGTGCATATACATCATATGAGGAGACTGATAATATACCTATAACAACACCGGGTGATGATTCTTGATCCTGTCGTCCTGCTAATGCATAAATGCAGTTCTGAGGACCGCTCGAGCTAGATGATCCGCCTCTGCCTCTACCATGACTCATTAGTGTTTGTGAACCTTGCCCAGGGGGGCGTATTGATGATGACGAACTAGCTACAGATCCCGCTGGCTGAGCCATGCTTGCATCACCTCTCGTCGGACAATCCTTCATAACGTGGCCCGGATAACCTCAAGTATAACAAACACCCAAACCCATACGGCACTGCCCGGCATGCTGCTTACCACACTGAGCACATCGTGGCAAGGGCGGCCTCATATGACTTGACTCACCCCTATACTGAGAACCTGAGGCCCTGGCATTCTGACCAGGCACTGAATATGTGGAACGATCAAATCTTTTACCGCCAAACTGAGGGGGTGCACTAGCTGATGGCTGGGCTGGATACCTCAGGTATTGTGGTCTCTTACCACCTCGAAACTCACCAGAAGGACCTTAAGACCTCGCACTTTTATTCTGGGCCCGATCATACTCACCATCGGCGCTCTACTTCTGCTTACGCTCCTCTACACCCTGAGCGTATGCCTGAATATGAGAAATATCCATGTCTGGCTGAAGTGAGACCAATATACAATCGTTAAGAAAGTGCGGATCTATCCCCATCACGAACCGATGAACCCGATCCTCCGTCTTAGATACAATAGTGGGAGCATACCTAGCCAACAAATCAAACTGAAGACTGTACTCTCGAAGACTCATGTTACCCTGCCGAAGGGTCAAGAACCTATCAACTCTGGCTCGTCTAAGCTCTGGTGGCAGATAATGTCGAAGAAAAGCTTCTGTAAA